TTCACAACATGTATCAAATCGTTGCTAACGTTTTTCATACTATATGAAATATTTGATAAATCTTTTAATGTACTTAATTTTCCAGTTAAATTCAATATTTCTTGCTGAATCAGCTTTTTATTTCCACAAACATCCAACAAACCCTCGACCATACATTTTTTATCAGAAGTTAATTTACGATTAGATGGTAAATGATTAAACACCACCTAAAAGTGATGGGTGTATAAGCAACATGGTTATATAATATGGAATTATTGAATACACTATAAAATATACATAATCATGCCTACTTATTGATGACATATCATGATTTTCATGTTTCTCTAATAATTTGTTTAATTTGTAGGCAATCACCTTCTTTAGTAACTCGAATTTTAATGATAGCAGGACACTTCATCAAATTACTAAAACATTCATATAAATAATGGATATTTAATATTTGTGTTATATCAAACGCCGNCATCTGGATGAATAAGTTTAAAGTGTACCTAAAAATCCTACAGTGCGGTTTGCGACGTTTTTTATACAGATTATTTCTTGTATACACTTGTATAGTAGAAAGTACAGACAGCTCTAAATGCGCCGAATAGATAACTACAGTTTAAAATGAGTGCTTAAAATTACCGGTACTTTAAAGTACCGTCGGGACACAAAGGGTTAATAGAAAATTTATTTTAGAAACTTTTATCACTCTTTGAAAATTTTGATAACATTGACCGTTTTCGAGTTATATGCGAAAATGTTAAGCTTGATTTCAATCGTAACAAACAAAAAAAGGAAACATATTCCGCAAGATCTTAGTTGGCGATGAGAATTGAAAAACGAACTGAACTAATAACCATTATTTGCATAAATTTCTAAGTGCAGATTTAGTTAAATAGTGTTAATTTATTTCAGTTGAATAAAAGAATGTAATTTCCAAAACAATAAATTTAATTGTCACGGTAACAACAAACAAGAACATAACAAAAATTCTAACAAAAATATTAACAAGAGCAATAAAATTATAAACAAATAGTAATAAATAAAAAAGAAGAAAAAAATACTAAAGCAGATGTTCAAAAACACTGCCTGATATCGCCGTCTTAAATTAAAGCGCACTCTGCGGAGAACACTGATCTCAGTTCGAAGTTGATCAAATGAAGTTATTTCAACGCAGTAAACTAGCGATTTAAATAAAAATCTACAGGTATAAGATCCGGCGATCGTCCAATCCACCGTCCCGGAAAACGTCCCCTCAGAAATTCTTGGACAGCCTGTGTACTATGCGCAGGAGCACCATCATGCATATACCACATTGTTTGGCTTGTGTTTAAAGGAATGTCATCTAAAAAATCATCTAATTCCTCTAAATGTCGCCTGTATGTATGTCCATCCAGCCTTGATGGCAAGAAAACGGGTCCAATAATTACATCGCCCACAATGCCAGCCCAAACGTTAAGAGAAAATCTCCATTGTGATTTCCAAGTTTCCTTAAATCNCTGTATCTAACAACCACTTCCGGTTGTTAGATATGCCTGAAACTTTAAGTCTGGTATTCTATTATTGTTATGCGAGTTTACACCAAATATACGAGATTTATCTTTTAAGAAAAAGAATATAAGCATTTTATATGAAAACGGTCCAATGACACACTCAGTCACTGATCATCTTTGATCGCTAATATCTTGGTAAGGAGCAAGTTAAAGCAAGATGTGGTTATCATGTTATATAGAGCCCATCTCAAAGAATAAGAATATTCTAGCGACAAAAGTTCTTCTTGCGTCTTCTGCGAGATATATATGTCAAAACATTTGGATGTAACTTCAAGTAGGTGTTAATTAGCTTTAAAAGAAGTGCTTATTACGTATTTCTGCAAAAATATTTTAAAAATTAGAAAAGTGCCAAATGAAGACCTTTCTATACTGTTCAAGATAGCAACAACGCATTGTCTTGAAAAANCCCTCAGAAATTCTTGGACAGCCTGTGTGCTATGCGCAGGAGCACCATCATGCATATACCACATTGCTTGCCTTGTGTTTAAAGGAATCTCATCTAAAAAATCATCTACTTCCTCTAAATGTCGCCTGTATGTATGTTCATCCAGCCTTGATGGCAAGAAAACGGGTCCAATAATTACATCACCCACAATGCCAGCTCAAACGTTAAGAGAAAATCTCCATTGTGATTTCCAAGTTTTCTTAAATCTTGGATTTTCGTCCGCCCAACTATGTAAATTTCTCAAAATGATGATTCCATCNCTTGAAAAAGTGGAACACAATATATTTTCTTCATCTAAAGTTGTAGCATTTTATGATATTTAATACACAAGAATTGTAGTACTGTTTTATTGCGTACAATTGGCACTAGAAAGTACATAAGACTTTATTCCTTTCAGCTCTCAGTCTATTAAGACCTAAAGTACATGTAACATGTAAAAAAAATCGAAAAAAAAAATTTCGAAAATTTGATTTTCGTTCACATTTTACCGCTTGTGGACCACTGTGCGGCGTTTCCATGACATTCCCATAATGTCAAAATCATGTCAGTTTGTTCACTAAATGTGTAACTCTCCATTTTGAACAATTAAAATTAATAAAAACTTAACTAACAAAAAACTATCATTTGTGTTTAAACGACATAAGCAAGTTGACAGCTCAATTTGTTTTTTTTTAATTGCCATGGCCAACCTTGACTTTTTCGAAGATTTTTGTTTTTTAGTGTTACCATTGAAATCGAAGCTTAATATTTTCGCGTATAACTCGAAAACGGTTAATGTTATCAAAATTTTCAAAGAGTGATAAAAGTTTCTAAAATAAATTTTCTATTAAAAAGTACAAAAATAAATGTAGGGTTACGAGCGAACAAAAAAGTTCTGAGCAAACAAATTTTAGGGACAGCCTGTATAGCATGGTTGCCGCCGCCCGATCAAAGTCAAAATTGGTTCAATGATTTTGCTTGATATTTGTTTACCCTGTACCAAATTTCAACACTCTACCATAAATGGTATTGAAATTATTTAGAAAAATGTGTTAAAATTTCGGAACTTTGATGGCCTATATCTTGGCGATTATTTGAACATTTTAATAATAATTTTTTTTTCACGATCATCATCATTTTTGCTCTAGTATATGAGGTTCATTTTATGCCCCGAGTCACCGGAACACCTTGTATGTTATTTTTTTATCTAATCATATGTCCAGAGTTCTCTTTTGTAGGAGAATTGAGGTAGCTTGGTTTTCTTAATATTAATGTTAATTTTCCATATTTGGCAGCAGTTTTAGAAAAGTATTAGTTATATTAGATAATACAGACGTGTTGTATTTTTGATAGGGTTAGGATAGTTCAAAATTTGCTGTGACTCTAAAAGGTCTATTATTTAGGAATGATTTTCTAATATTCCTGTTACATCAATTTCCGGATGAGAATATCATATCAGACAGTGGCAAAGGCTGTTTTTTATAATGTAAAAGATATTGAATGAAGTTACCGTGTTAGGATTGAAATATTAAGTTAATGACGTTTCATAACTTTGTCCAAGACTGATTATTTATTCACTTTAAAAATGTATTTCAATCGAATCCAACTATTATTAATTCTACAATTTATGAAGTACAAATCTATCTTTCTCTACATATATAATTCACGGTTGAACTCGCTTAATCGATTTGCGTGAATGAAAAAGTTAATGGAATGTAATGAATTTACAGTTTTTGTGTGATACTTATAATTTAGTGTTTGCTGTTGCATATTAACTAATCGATAGGCGTGCGGCATGTAGATTAGGGTCGTGATTGATCTATTAAAATATTAATTGATGGAAATTGATCAATGTTTTTTTTCTTTCTTTATAGCGATATGCTGATCGGTACAACTATAGCAGAGAACCATTGCCGATGACAGCCCTTTACGGGGCTAGCTACAGGCCGAGGGCCTAACATCATGCGCGAAGAAGAATTAGAAGTAGCCCTTAAGGTAATGAATTATATTATATATTATATTTTCTTATCTCTCTCTGTTTCTTGATTAATGTAGACGTGATGAAAATAAAAGATATGGTTTATAAAAGAAGTTTTTTTTCTTTAAGGTGGTAATTGTGGGCAACGGTGGAGTAGGAAAATCTAGCATGATCCAAAGATACTGCAAAGGCACATTTACAAAAGATTACAAAAAGACGATAGGTGTCGATTTTCTGGAGCGACAAATTGAGTAAGTAAAAAATCTTTATTGTATAAATTTGAGAAGGTAAATGTAAATTTCTTTAATTTTCTTGAAATACCAAAAAGAGAAATCGTTAACCTTGCCCGTTATAACTAATAAAATGTTTGTTTTACTACACATCGTTTCACGTCTTCATACAAAAGAATCCTTGTCGTAAACTGTAAACTCTATGGCTGCAAGATGTTTTCTTAAAGATTAGAAAATCTCTTTAACACGTTAATTAATTGTTGTAGTTGTCTCGCCAATGGAAAATTAATCACGAACAAGTTACATTTTGGCACAAATCCCTTTCATTCGAAATTAAACACCGTAACATTCTCATTATTCATATAAAATTTGCTGGCAGTTAACGAGTGGGCGTTAACATTTTGCTTGTTATTATGCAGAAGAAATTATGGCCAGCAAGTGTGCGAAATGTTAAATATAAAAATTTATTACCAAAATTCTTTATCTTTTTTAATTTAACCCAAAAACGAGCTGTAATTTTATAGTCAATTACACGGAATCATGGGAATTAACAAGAACTGGTTCCTGAGAAAAACGATGTAAAGGTGGTAAAGGTGCAGACACCAGTATAATAATATTATAATGAGCGAACAAAAAAACACGTAAAACGATGAATGTTTAGTATTTTGGTTATAATAAGAAAACCTCTCAACCGATTTTGAAAAATAATATCTCATTCCAAAGCGTAATCTTTGACCAGTACGAAAGTGAAAATTCCGATTCGAAATCTCGAATCATTACTTTTCTTTAGCATAAAAGTTGCAGCAAAGTTTAGTCTTTATTTCACTTTTGCTCTCAGATGTATAAAAATCGAGAAAAATTCAAAAAGGTGAAAATTAGATGAAATACTGGTTTTATATTTTGTTGTTTGTAGACTACGAGATTAAAAATGTTTAATAAAAAAAGTGTTAGTATAAAAGTTGTAGCAAACTTTATTCTTAACAATATTGCTCTTTTACATTTTTGCTCTCAGATGCACAAATATTGAGAAAAATTCGAAAAGGTAAATTAGATGAAATCATGGTTTTACAGCTTTTGTTGAATGCATGGGATTAGGAACGTTTTAGAAAACAAGTTTTAATACAAAAGTTGTAGCAAACGTTATTCTTAACAATATTGCTCTTTTACACTTTTGCTCTCAGATGCATAAATATAGAGAAAAAATTGAAAAGGTGACAATTAGATGAAATCGTGATTTACATATTGTTGTTGATGTAGCACGGGATTCGGAACGTTTTAGAAAACAAGCTTTAATATAAAAGTTGTAGCAAACGTTATTCTTAACAATATTGTTCTTTTACACTTTTGCTCTCAAGTGCATAAATAAGTTTTAATACAAAAGTTGTAGCAAACTTTATTCTTAACAATATTGCTCTTTTACACTTTTGCTCTCAGATGCACAAATATTGAGAAAAATTCGAAAAGGTGTAAATTAGATGAAATCATAGTTTTACAGCTTTTGTTGAATGTATGGGATTAGGCACGTTTTAGAAAAAATGTTTTAGTATAAAAGTTGTAGCAAACGTTATTCTTAACAATATTACTCTTTTACACTTTTGCTCTCAGATGCATAAATATCGAGAAAAAATTGAAAAGGTAACAATTAGATGAAATCGTGATTTACATATTGTTGTTGATGTAGCACGGGATTCGGAACGTTTTAGAAAACAAGTTTTAATACAAAAGTTATAGCAAATTTTATTCTTAACAATATTGCTCTTTTACACTTTTGCTCTCAGATGCACAAATATTAAGAAAAATTCGAAAAGGTGTGAATTAGATGAAATCATGGTTTTACTGCTTTTGTTGATTGCATGGGATTAGGAACGTTTTAGAAAAAAAGTTTTAGTATAAAAGTTGTAACAAACTTTATTCTTAACAATATTGTTCTTTTACACTTTTGCTCTCAAGTGCATAAATATCGAGAAAAAATTGAAAAGGTGACAATTAGATGAAATCGTGATTTACATATTGTTGTTGATGTAGCACGGGATTCGGAACGTTTTAGAAAACAAGTTTTAATATAAAAGTTGTAGCAAACTTTATTCTTAACAATATTGCTCTTTTACACTTTTGCTCTCAAATGCACAAATATTGAGAAAAATTCGAAAAGGTGCAAATTAGATGAAATCATGGTTTTACTGCTTTTGTTGATTGCATGGGATTAGGAACGTTTTAGAAAAAGACTTTTAGTATAAAAGTTGTAGCAAACGTTATTCTTAACACTATTGTTCTTTTACACTTTTGCTCTCAAATGCATAAATATCGAGAAAAAATTTAAAAGGTGACAATTAGATGAAATCGTGATTTACATATTGTTGTTGATGTAGCACGGGATTCGGAACCTTTTAGAAAACAAGTTTTAATATAAAAGTTGTAGCAAACTTTATTCTTAACAATATTGCTCTTTTACACTTTTGCTCTCAGATGCATAAATATTGAGAAAAATTCGAAAAGGTGTAAAATAGATGAAATCATGGTTTTACTGCTTTTGTTGATTGTATGGGATTAGGAATGTTTTAGAAAAGAAGTTTTAGTATAAAAGTTGTAGCAAACGTTATTCTTAACAATATTGTTCTTTTACACTTTTGCTCTCAAGTGCATAAATACCGAGAAAAATTGAAAAGGTGACAATTAGATGAAATCGTGATTTACAGATTGTTGTCGATGTAGCACGGGATTCGGAACATTTTAGAAAACAAGTTTTAATATAAAAGTTGTAGAAAACTTTATTCTTAACAATATTGCTCTTTTACACTTTTGCTCTCAGATGCACAAATATTGAGAAAAATTCGAAAAGGTGTAAATTTGATCAAATCATAGTTTTACAGTTTTTGTTGAATGTATGGGATTAGGAACGTTTTAGAAAAAAAGTTTTAGTATAAAAGTTGTAGCAAACGTTATTCTTAACAATATTGTTCTTTTACACTTTTGCTCTCAAGTGCATAAATATCGAGAAAAAATTGAAAAGGTGACAATTAGATGAAATCGTGATTTACATATTGTTGTTGATGTAGCACGGGATTCGGAACGTTTTAGAAAACAAGTTTTAATACAAAAGTTGTAGCAAATTTTATTCTTAACAATATTGCTCTTTTACACTTTTGCTCTCAGATGCACAAATATTGAGAAAAATTCGAAAAGGTGTAAATTAGATGAAATCATAGTTTTACAGCTTTTGTTGAATGTATGGGATTAGGAACGTTTTAGAAAAAAAGTTTTAGTATAAAAGTTGTAGCAAACGTTATTCTTAACAATATTGTTCTTTTACACTTTTGCTCTCAAGTGCATAAATATTGAGAAAAATTCGAAAAGTTATAAATTAGATTACATCATAGTTTTACAGTTTTTGTTGATAAAGCATATGATTAGGAACGTTTTAGAAAAAAGTTTTGGTATAAAAGTTGTGGTAAATTTGATTCTTAACAATATTGCTCTTTTACATTTTTGCTCTCTGATGCACAAATATTGAGAAAAATTCGAAAATCTGAAAATTAGATGATATCGTGGTTTTACATCTTGTTGGTACAACACGGGATTTTGAAAGTTTTAGTATAAAAGTTGAAGCAAAATCTATTTTTAACAATATCGCTCTTTTACATTTTTACTCTCAGATGTATAAATATCATCTATAAAGAATAAAAGATTTAAAAAAAGAAAAATTCTAAAAATGCGTTCAAGATGTTTTTTTTAGAAGTTGTGATTTTATTGTGGAGTTATTTATAAAGTTTTTCTATTTTTAGAGTTGATGGTGAAGATGTGAGATTAATGTTATGGGATACAGCGGGCCAAGAAGAGTTCGATGCCATTACGAAGGCGTATTACAGAGGAGCCCAAGCTTGCGTCCTCGCCTTTTCAACGACCGATAGGGATTCGTTCGAAGCGGCACACTCGTGGAAACTCAAAGTAAATAAAATAATTCTTCGTACAAACCTCTAGAAAATCTAAATTCATACACTTCGAAAATATCGCATCCTCTTTGATGGCTTCGTTCCCTAAATATCTTTTCGTTACGTAACGAAGATGTGTCAGTCTTTCACTTTTCTCTCTTTTTAAGCTCGTTACAGAAACATTACCTCACTAAAAATATCTTCTCTGAACTAACTAAGATTTATATTGCTTCTAAGAATAATTTTCTTGGATTAACTGAGAATGAACATTTTTATGAGGGTATAATTAGATGGGGCTTATGCAGATTCCCTTATTGAAAAGTAAATTATGATTACATTCCCATTCGTTACAATAACGACCTTTTTACACAAATTAGGGATGTGGATGTAATGAATAAAAAAGAAGTAAAAGAAACCTACAATTATTCTTGATGTACATTGTCCCAGAGAAAATTGCGAAATTATACATTTTATAAAGTCACGAATGCAAATTATTTCGAATTATGAATGTAATAAGACTAATTGAATAGGAAATGAATTTTAATAGATTAAGGTACTTTAATAAACCTGTAAAATGTGAGTTTCTTTTTTATTTTGTTATAGGTTGAAAATGAATGTGGTGAAATTCCTACGGTAATAGTTCAGAATAAAATAGATCTAATTGAGCACAGCGTTGTCAGCCCGTAAGTATATTAACGATAATAATTTTTAATCGCAAAAACCATCGAGTTATGTAATTACAAATCGTACGGCCTATAAATAATGATTACGACTTCTTAATGTGACGGGGAATCTCGTTTGAAATATGACCATTGTCAGAAATGCGGAAGGTGTAAAGCTTACGTGAATCTTTTTACGTGTGCACATCGACCGAACCTGTTATTTATTGCTCGTTAAAGTTCCTGGAAAGAGCGCGTGTACGGTTCATTAGAGTATTTGCCAAAAATCGAAATATCCACAACTCAAAAAAGATTCATTAATTTTTAATTCATTCGAACGAATTGAAATTAATTATTTTATGATGCAGGTATTTGACGAAAGATTAGCATAATAAATGAAGTAATTATAACAAAAACGGCGGCGATGCAAAAACGTAAAGTGAGTAGAGACAAGGTTTGGTTGTAATGTAACTGTACACTCGACCTATAAATCTTATGCAAATTCTAAACTGGTTGCAGTAAATAAAACGATCTTGTCGGCCAGAAATTTCTGCGAAGGTGTACTGGTAATCTAAATATTGCCAACGACGACCACGACGTTGGTCGTTGTAATTAAACATTCTACATGTTTTATTTATAATGTTACAGTTACCATATAACTGGGTTGAGTAAATACTAAAGATAAGAAAAATAGGTAATTACCACAATTATAATAACCTTGCCGCAACCCATTTCTAAGTAAATATAAGATGTCGAAGAATAAATTATAATTAAAGTTACAACATTTTCGAAAAAAGTGTTTTGAAGAAAATTGAAATTACAATGATAAAATGTTATACAGTGCGTCCGTAAAGTAACGGATATACGCGATAAAATCATTATAAACGGTTTATGGAAAAATCCCTGAAACGGGTCTAAAGATTTAAATTTTTTGCAATTGTTTGGTGTAGATTTTAAATTTCTTCCGCCATTTTTAAGCGAGTTATGACGTCATCGGTATTCATTTCAAATAGCAATCCTCCATTTTTATTACGGAATATGAAAGAAGATTTTTTTCTGAATCTAATACAGTCAATATTAATATTGCTTACATAAGAAAAATTACTTTAAAGTTTAACTACTTCAGATTTCTTGACATGATGAAAATAGCAGTAGCCATGAGTAACTATGGTAACCAATTATTATAAATAATTTCCTAAGTGTCAAAAACAGATTTAGTAAGTAGTTGACCTCTTTAATACAACATATCCTGATCGCCAACTCATTAGCCAAAGTATGGTGAGCCTAGCTGTGACTAAATTTAAACAGCATGGCCATCTCTCGAAGCATTTTTCGAAGTCTGGCCTACTGAATGTTGCAAGGGAAGTTCAACAAATCGTGGTTTTGGCTGGGCAAGAATACCTTCATGTTACTGTAAGGAGTATTGAGTCTAATTTTGACATTAGTAAATCAACGGTTAATAAAATTTTAAAACCCGCAAAATATCATTCCGATAAAGTAAACCTGATTCACGAGCAATGAGTCGTAGTTTTTGCAACAACAATTTTGCAACGATGACGAAGACTTTGTCAAAAACATAATTTTTTCGACGAAAGGACATTTACATTGAGTGGACAAGTAAATAGACAAAGTTGTCAGTATTGCGCTACCCAAAATCCAAATTAGCCAAGAAACTCGCACACCCAATATCCGCAAAAGATTTGAGGAAACCTTAAGTGGAAAGAGATGTTTAATTTTTTTCAAAGCGATGTCATTCCTTCCATCCCGATAATGTTGACACAACTCAATTCCAACGGCAGTTATTCCAACAAGATGACGCGCCACCACACTTCAAGAAGGTTTACTAAATCAGTTTTTGACCCTCAGGGAATTGTTTAGAATAATTGGTTACCATAGTTACTCATGGCTACTGCTATTTTTATCATTATACAAATTTGAAGTAATTAAACTTTAAAGTAATTTTTCTCGAAAATTTTTTTATGTAACCAATAGTAATATTGACTGTACTAGATTCAGAAAAAAATCCTCTTTCATATTCCGCAATAAAAATGGGGGATTGCCATTTAATTTTTTTAAATGGAAATCCCCCATTTTATATATCATATCGATGACGCCATAACTCGTTTAAAAATGGCGGAAAAAATTTGAAATCTACTCCAAAAAATTTAAATCTTTAGACCCGTTTCAGGGAGTTTTCCATAAACCGTTTATTATGATTTTATCGCCTATATCCGTTACTTTGCGGACACACTGTATATGTCATTATACAGGATGATTTATTAGCTCACCATCAAAGTTTGACAGATGATAGCTATTCCAATGACCAAAAAATGCAACATTTTTTTAAAACACATAAATATTACAAATATTGTTCAAATAGAGTTCTTCAGCCGAATTAAAATATCTGGTTGATTTCTTATTTCAGTAGCAACCATTTGTATTCTGTTTAATAACTGTTCTCGTGTGTTAATTTCCACTTGATACAAAATTTGTTTCATTTGACCCCATAAGTAGAAATTCAATGGATTAAGGTCGGGGGATCTAGGTGGCCAAGCAAATGGACCATTATTACTAATCCACTTGTTTGGAAAATATTGGTTTAACCACTCGACAAATACTCTTCCGCGATGAGGTGGGGCACCATCGTGCTGGTACCACATATTTTGAATTGCATTAAGAGGTATATCTTCAAGTAATTCAAAAAGTGTATTGTTCAAAAAAAAATCTGTAATTTACAGCGTCCAAACGTCCATCAAGTACATGCAAACCAAGGAAATTGTTGTTAAATATTCCTCCCCAAACGTTGGTGCTGAAACGTTGTTGAATGCGATTAGGCCAAGGAGATGACCTAATCGCATGCGAATTTTGTAATGGCAAGATATGTTCGTTATGGTAATTATTTATACCATCTCGTGTAAAACATGATTCATCTGTCTAGAGAATATTTGAAATGAAGTCATTATTTTGGACAAGTTACTACAATAACCATTCACAAAATGCTAACTGTTGCTGATTATCTCCTGGCTGTAGAGCTTGAACATTCTGTTTACGGATGAAGGACTTCGCGGTTCAATACGCGCCATGCAAAATTTTGACTTACATGTATGTTGTGTACTATTCTTCAAGTGCTGATGGAAGGATTATCAATGACAACATTAATTACAGCTTCTTCGTCCTCTACATTAACTACATGCGGTCGAATAGCTTTTGCTGGAGCAGGATTACCTGTTTCTCCAAGTCTTCTGAAAGGACCGCTAAAAACTGAATAATATGGAAAATGACGCTGTGGAAATCTTGATATTCCCGTACTGATTGTCGAGCATTGTGTTCACCCTAAGGATCTATTGTACCCCCATGTTATCAAATTTCACCGTGCAGTCCAATGCTCTTAACGAACCTTAATATCTTGCTCGGTGAACAATCATTCCGATCCTTTGAGGAGATAAACTGCGACTTAAAAATCGAGAATCTGATACGATTAACAGCAGGACAGTGGCATAAAACATGCTCAACATCGTCAGTTAGATCCAACAAGTTGAGGTGTGTTTTTAATCGGCAGTGCCCAGTAAACACCCATTAGAACTTTGCATGTCTCATTCCAGAAGAACTGGTCCACAGTAGGGGAAGTCTCTTTTCAGCCCACACTACTGGTTCTGGTCCCACAAACGCTTTAGCGCTGCCCTCTCGTGCTAGGTCTTCTGCCGCTTCATTGCCAGCAACCCCAGAGTGACCTGGGACCCAGATCAGAGTTTAATGTTCTCTTACAGTGATTAACAAAAGTTGACATTGTTTTTATGGCTTAGCAGCGCCTGGAGATCGCCTTGACTGTCTGAGAAAAGTCGTACTGTCATGTTCTTCAACCCTCTCTCAAGAATGATATTAGCACCGTTGTCAATAAGAACTACTTCCGCCTGGAATACAGTACAGTACGTACCCAGGCTATAAGATTGCTTAATCCGAGATGTCTGGCAGTATACTCCTTTTCCGACCCCTTCTGGCGTTTTTGATCCATCTGTAAACATGCAAATATCTGCCTGAACAAGAAAATTCTCGTTTTGGATCCAGGGCTACCGTTCAGACAGTACAATCTGGTGTCGAGCATTAATCACTGATAGTGATCCCGCCAGATCTGACGGCATTGATAGCACGGTATCAGTGCTTGTAATGTCTTCCACAACCCATTGGTCATGTCGAAACAGTTTTGAGCATATTGCTTAAATCTGTAAGTGGTAGTTCTAGCCACTTTCTCTATATGCAAATGCAAAGGAGATAGACCAAGCAGAACATCCATTGCTAGAGTTGGCGTTGTGCCTATCGCACCAGAGATTGCCAATCCAGCTACTCGTTGAATTCGTGAAAGATTACTGATAACAGAAGTCGTCGGACTTTCCTATACCAGGTTGCTGCTCCGTATGTGATCATAGGTTTAACAAGTCACATAGAGCCAGTACAGTCTTTCAGGGGTAAGACCCCAATTTTTTTCACAAAGACTACGACAAGTCTACAAGGATAGTCTAGCTTTGTGCAAAACTCCCTGCACATCTCCATTCCATGAGACGGTTTTATCTAGGATTACTCCTAGATATTTGACTTACTTTGAGAGAGCAATTTCTTCACCTTGGATAGTTGGGCGGATTAGTCCATCCAATTTTCGTGTCCTGGTGAAGGGCACATCCCCTACACCAAGCGCAAATGGTATCTAGGGTCACCTGGAAGACTTTGGATATCCTCGACAAACAGGTTTCTTTGACCATAACGACAATGTCATCTACACCAACGGCTTCGACTATCACAATCAGATCATCAACCAGAAGGGACCAAAGCAGGGGAGATAACACCCCTCCCTGTGGATAGCCACCTCCCGGTTTGAAACGTATCGTGTCTATTTTAGAAACTATTCTACTATCAAGCATATTGCGAATCCAACCCGCTATAGTTGCTTCCACTACCCTGTCAAGAGCAGCTCTTTCAAAAGATTTTGGTATTGCGTTGTTGAGCGCACCTTCTATATCCAGAAACGCACA